ACTATCATACCCGAGGTGCGTTGCGCCATGATTCGGATGCTTTTCCTATCTTGCACCATCAGTTGTGACTGGCAGCTTGCTTTTTGCACATTACGGGCGCCCCGATATTCAGATTCGTTTCTTGCACATATTACATGTAATGCATTTCGCATCGCAGCCAATCTAGCCCCGCCGTTATCTCCACGGTAAGCTGCCGTTTCGATGTTCAACATTCATTCTCAAAGCTCGGGGCGCGACATTGTAAGCTTGGTGTCACGGATCTTGTAATGAATACAGAAATTTATCAATCAATATCAATATCAAAATCATCAAAATCAAAATCAATAAATCAATCGATCATCAAAAACATCAATATATACAGACAACTTGATCTCCTCGTGGCACTGTGTACGTAGTATACACGCTTGTCACGTTTGGGGCGTCCTCCAACGACCAGGAAGGAGATCTGCTCAGCCTTAGACGGTCGCCGGGTCAAAGGTGTGTAATAAGACCATGTGGTGAGACCACCTGTCCACCTGTAGGACCACCTGTAAGACCATCTGTCAGTTAGTTTCAGCGTGATACTCCCATAGTTTTGTTTCTTGAAAAAACATGTTGAATTCCTTCGCAATCATCTTGAAAATTTAAAGAGCTTACATAAACACAACGCTGTATCCATGACCGGACATCATCAGCTGGTCATAATAGATATTATTGTGGTATATGGCTTCGGTTTATGAGGACGTCACCTATCACAGCCGGACGAGAGATACGTTGGCGGTGAAAAGCCCAGAATTATCTCCGTCCATCCCGCACATTTAACACGCATTTTGCATTGAAGTAACGCGTGGAAAGAAACGAAAAGCATCATGACACACATACATATATATTTAGATAGGCACCCGTTCAAAACACTGTAACTAGTACGGCGCAAGGTTGTATGCCGGGGTGGAATGGCCGTAAGCAGGCTTGTGGACAGGCTTGTAGGCCGGGGCAGCAGCCTTGTAGGCAGGAGCAGGGTGGTACTCGGGGTACTGGGCCTCTCCCTCGTAGGTGACCTCGGCGTTGTAGCCGCCGTAGTTGTCGGCGACGTACTTGACGCGCTGGACACGGCCGTCGGGCAGCGCCACCGAGTAATATCCCTGGGTGTTGTGGCCATCGCTCTCCTCATTCTTGGCGAAGTTGGTGCCGGTGTAGTGGTCGTTGACGGCATAGTCGTAGGCGAACGGCTTGGCCTCCTCCTTGTACTGGGGCCCCGGTCGGTAAGAGGCCGGCTTATGGGAGGAAGCCGGGTGGTAGGGGGCCGGAGCTGGATTGTAGCCCAGTGTCTCCGGGCTGGGGCGGCGGCGGCGACGGCCAGCGCGGCGGCAACGACGAGGACCTGCAATGCCGTAGAGGATGTTAGACGGAGCAAGCAGCCATTTAAACACCGCAGGTTTGCTACCATACATCTGTGCAATTCAAGGTACAATCGCTAATATCAGAGCGAATATGGTTTGAAGTAGACTGTCTAGTAGTAAACAGGACACCAAATCAATGATATTATTCCAGCACATACCTGCATAGTGTGTTCTGATGGCCTGGTGTACAGTACAAGTGGTGTCCGCTCCCTTGGTGCTTTCGCTTTTATAGCTCGGCCGCTAACCACTGATAGACGGTCACGGTCAGATTTCAGTGAACGGACGCCTCCAACGGTGTCACCGGCTGCGCTTGAAGAATTCGCACGGAATTCCTTGCACACGCCCACCTCTTAGATGTTGACCAGAATGTGACCCATGACGTTGTATATGGATGTCATTTAATTTTCACAGGTGAGCTGGACGATAGATGGCAAAGAACATGTAGCTTATGACGCAATGGGTTCTTATCGAACTTTCTTGGCAACGCGCTGAAGGCGGATGATATTTTTTTTATTTGTAGGGTGCCTTCCCACCTACCTAAACCCATAAACGTTCATTGAGTCACAGGTGATGGTGCACCATCTGGCGGGACCTGGCTTTTATGATGAACGTATCACGTCATAAGACAGTTGGCAAACAGCCAGATTGCGCTGCTGATTGGATGCCTCGATCACGAGCCGTGTTTTGTGGTAATTTCCATAGGCATTTATATATCGTAAGATTATCAATCACTTAAGAAAATGCAAGAACAACGCGAAAAAGGCTAATACACACACAACGGACGCTTCCATCACAAATTATTCGCATAAATAGACGACCCCAACTTTACAGTGCGTCGAAGCAGACAGGTTGAGTCACTCTCCACTTCAGTGGCAACTCTAACATAGCCACTCTGGTCGACACTCTGATAACTTAAAAACGGTCAATGACGCAATCAAACGATGACGTATAGAAGGGCATCTTTACTAAGTAATAGCAATTGTGCTATTAACAGCAGTCCCTCGTACTTCGCAACGCATGAAAGGAGTGGAGCGTGCTTTAAGGAGTGACTACGGATCCGTGCCAATCCACGTTGACACCAGCCCGGCAGATGATAACGCGCCGGGGGGCAGTCTGTTCAGTGAGGTAATGACCGTGGCCTTCTATCGGTGGTGGGCAGCCGACCTATAAAAGCGAAAGAAACTGCAGAAGCAGGCACCAGTTTTACTGTACACCCGGCCACCAAAACACAACATGCAGGTATGTGCTTGAACTACATTGTTGATTGTAGCAAGATGTCGGGTGTTACATATTTTTTCCGGCAAATTGCGTCCGTGGTCAAAAAAATAACCACGATGCTGGAATGAACAAGTCATTGATATCTTATCTTTCATGGCACCGCAGGTCCTCGTCGTTGCCGCGCGTGCTGGTTGTTGCAGCTGCCACCCCAGCCCCGGATACACCGGTATACAGGCCCGCCCCGGCCCCTCAAGCCGGCCCCCTTACCACCCGGAGCCCCAGTAGAATGAGGAGGCCAAGCCTTTCGCTTACGACTACGCCGTCAACGACCACTATTCCGGAGCCAACTTCGCCAAGGAGGAGAGCGATGGCCACAACACCCAGGGATGTACTCGGTGGCTCTGCCCGACGGCCGTGTCCAGCACGGTCAAGTACGTCGCCGACAACTACGGCGGCTACAACGCCGAGGTCACCTACGAGGGAGGAGTCCCAGTATCCCGAGTACCACCCCCGCTCCTGCCTACAAGGCTGCCGCTCCGGCTTATAAGCCTGTTCCACAAGGCTACCCTACAGCCATCCCGCTCCCGCATACAAGCCTGTGACATACTAGTCACAGAGTGAGAACGGCTGCTTATTCAAACCTATTCATGTTTGCGTTATGGTGCTTTTCGTTTTTTGTCCGGCGTTACTTCAAATAAACAACATCTTTTCTGAGTCGTGCCGTTAACAGAGGTAATTCTATGCCTTCCACCAGGAAATGTCTCTGATCTGATAGTGAGAAGCGACGTCCGCATATACTGAAGACAACGACCACACGATGTTTTATAAAGACTTTTTAGCAACGATCTGTCATTGACTGATGGTGCTTAGAGCGTGTCACATTTGCAAGCTTCCTTGAATTTCGCATTGGTTGTAGAGTAGTTCAAGACATTTCATTTTCCGGAAGCAAAGTTTCTGGTATCAATACAAGCGCCCTATGAAGGCATCACGCTGAAACTGCCTGACAGGTGGTTAGCAACACATGGTCCTACCAAACACCTCTGGCCCATGACCGTCTGAGGACTGAGGACATGTCTGTTGTTGTTGGAGCGACCTCCGGACCGTGCTAAGTAAGTACAATATGTTTACGGCGTCGCCAGGTGATCAATGTGTCACTTATGTAGAAATGGGCTCCTCGATGTTCAGTTGGATCACGGACTCACGGCGCCTGCCGCGAACACCTGTAAGATATTCTCGTTTCTAATCGCTACAACTCCCAATTCTCTTCGTTGTCTTGGAGTGTTTTCCACGCGCTCGGGTGAGGATCACCGTGACCCCTCGAAGGTTTTTCCGAAATATTTCCCGGAAACCAGGCGTAGCGGCTCCAAATTTTGCAAAGCTGTAGACAACTGAACAGCGGATCGTTTGGTATCGTATGATGACTTTAGGTGTGTTGTAAGGTCGCTAACCCACAGCGGGTCAAATTGGATTCAGCGAAGTTAATCGCTAGGGAATCATTCAATCTGATGTAACAACAAGTATTAGACAAAGCCATACATCTCGGAAATTGTTCTTAGTCGACACAAAGATTGACTGAGCAAATTAAATCGACCTAGCATCAAGTATGAAGGTCAACACCGAGGTCAAAACCAACATGTTTTATTACCATAGGGCATGCTGTACCGGATAGTTTCCGGTGCTCGTTTCGATTTGGTTGATAATACGAACCGCATTGTATATCTACTACAGACTTCTTAAAGTTCAGAATAGGCCTCTGATCTAAACCCAGGCCATCATTTCTTAATGAAATATTTGCATTGCGTAAACTTTATCGCTTATTGAAGTGCAAAAATCAAGGGCAGTCTTCCATGATTTTGGTCAGCATGACCTTCAAATGTCAAACAAGGTCAATGACCTTCAATGGGCATGCAACCTTTCTTCTAAAATAAATATTCAGGTTCTAGGGCACTTTGGAAACCAGCCTGTAGTGTGACTTTGCGTAACCTGATTTGCAACGAAGGTCACGAACCAAGAGCATCAAGCTTGACATAAGTGAGCTCACGTTCAAGCCAACACACCACGTCCCGTTGGTGACTCTAGCCCTCTCGGTTCCTGGCGTCTCAGGGGGGTCAAATTGACCCCCACCAAAGCGAAGGCCATCCAAACGGCCATCCGGGCGCGTGTTAAAGCCATTCGTTCCCCTGACATGGCGCCTGGACAGCCAGGGTTAATCTTGTCAAGTCATGTAGATCGCCAACACAGCCTTGTAGGTGAACTGGTATGTGGCGCACGAAGAAAAGTTTGCCTTCGATCTACAATAAAAGATACGGTATAAGTCCATTTCCTAACCAATGTCTACCACGGACGCGTTGCAAACACAAGGAACAAAAAAGTTTCATGACCGTAAGTCCAAGTCATAGATTCATGACAGATAAGACGTGGCTCCAGCACGTCGCAGCGGAAGACGTCGGAGACGGCCGCATCCAGCACGTCAAGTACGTCGCCGACAAGCACGGCGGCTACAATGCTGAGGTCGCCTACGAGGGAGAGGCCCAGTACCCTGATTACCACCCCGCTCCTGCCTGCAAGACTGCTGTCAATGCCTACCAGCTAGCGTACAAGGCCGGTACCCTCGCCCATCAGCCAACCGTGACCACTGCCTATCAGCGCACTTCCCCGTTCTACACGGCTACCACTCCAGCCTACAAGCGCACCTTTAAGCCTGCTGCCCCAACCTACAGGACAGCTGTGCCTGCTTATAAAGCAACTGCACCTGCCTACCAGTCCACTGCCCCACGCCCACCAACCTGACTTCAAGCCTGCTGCCCCTGCGTACAATGCCCTTCCTCTTTCCTACACCCCTGCGGCTCTGGCCTACACAACTGCTGCCCCGGCCTACAAAACTTCTGCCCCGGCCTACACAACTGCCACACCGGCCTACACGACTGCTGTCCCGGCCTACACAACTGCTGCCCTCGACCTACACATCTGCTGCTCCGACCTACACATCTGCCACCCCGGTAGACAAACCAGAGGCTTCTCCGTATAAGTCCTCGACCTCTGCCTACAAGTCTTCCCACAAGGCTGCTGTCCCGAGCTTGAAGCCGGATGTGACGTATTAAAAGCGAGCATGTTGTGTTGGCGTTTTGATACTGTGCGTTGTTATGTGACATTATGTGTTGTGCATACGAGGAATGTTTAGATAAAGTAGTGTTTTTTTACGCTGGTCTTTTCTGTTAGTATACACATATCAACAAGTAATGCATTCTGGGAAGATGACACAGCTGTGATCTATGGTATGTGATAATACTTGCGGTGTCGCATTCCAGAAGTACCGTAGTGCACGTTGCAGTACATAAACAATATTTGGACTAACCCGTCCTTGCACATTAAACATGATTGACCTGGAACGAAGACACAGTGTTTGAGTCACACTCTTTCAAACATGCACATTTGGCCCTAATTGATCACACGACCGATTATCCATTAGACAAGAACTACATCACTTGAAGGGTAGGGTCAGAACGTGTTTCATATTTAATCGTTATGTCACAAATTGGGCGGCCATTTGTGCAAGTGTTCCGCGTGAGTGTAGGTACTCTTCTAAAGTACTTGGATGCGACGTGAAGACACCAGCAAGCACACAAGCAGGTCATCAGTCAGTCACACTGGCAGGGCATCAGTCAGTCACACTAGCAGTCACCAGTCAGTCACACTAATAGGCCATCAGTAAGTCACACTAGGCGGTCACCAATCGCACTAGCAGGACATTAGTCAGTCACAGTAGTAGGCCATCAGTCAGTCACACTGACAGGTCATCAGCCCCTGGAATCTGAAGATGAAGATGCTGAGCTATGCCCTATCGCCGCAAAACGATGCGAAGGAAAAGCTGCTATTTCGACCCCGTAACGCGGTAAGATGCATTTCAGCGACGTGGCACCATATTGAACGTTCACCCAGTCACACACGGAAGCCATCAGTCAGTCGCACTAGCAGGTCACCAGTGAGTCACACTTGCAAGTCATCAGTCAGCCACGCTTGCAGTTTATCAGTCAGTTACACTAGCAGCTCATCAGTCAGTTACACTAGCCCTTATCAGACAGTCACACTAACCGGTCATCAGTCAGCCACACTGGTAGGTCATCAGTCAGTCAGCAGCAGGTCACCAGTCAGTCACACTGACAAATTTTCAGTTAATCACATTTGCAGCCCATCAGCCAGTTACACTAGCAATTCATCGATCAGTCACAGTTGCATGTCACCAGCAACCCAAAACTGAAGATGAAACGCCAGGTTTTGTCTTATCGCCGAGTGGTGATGCAGAGTAAAGGTTGTTATTTACACTTGGTAACGCGGTAAGGCTGAATTTCAAAGACACTGTGCGATGATTGGCGTTCATCCAAGCTGTCCTGCCACCTAGTGATTTTCACGACCACCCAGGCACAAAACGTTGCATGTATTTAATGCACTAGTGTCATCTACACCAACGTTTTTAGTCACGGTAATGGGCGCGATTTGCTGATTTGCTGATTTGCGATGTGCTGATAGTCATCTGTCCCGCACTTTCAGCAGTGATACTTTTACAGGACACTGGTATTGGTACAGAAACTTTGCTTCCAGAAAAACATGTTGAATTTCTTTCCGATTATCCCCAAAGTTTAAAGACCTCTCAAAGATGCAACGCTGCAAGGATCATAAATCCATCAAAGGACATCGTTAGCTAGTCATTACATATATTTTTGTGGTATCTAGCTTCGGTTTATGAAGACGTCGCTTATCACAGCCGGATGAAATACTTTGGCGGTGAAAAGCGTATAATTATTTCCGTCGAACCCGCACCTTGAAACTTTTTAATTGAAGTAATGCGTGGAAAGAAACGAACAGCATCATAACACACACACGACTATATTTAAATAGGCACCCGTTCTAACTCTGTAACTAGTGTGTCGCAGGCTTGTATGCCGGGGTGGAATGGCCGTAAGCAGGCTTGTGGACAGGCCTGTAGGCCGGGGCAGCAGCCTTGTAGGCAGGAGCAGGGTGGTACTCGGGGTACTGGGCTTCTCCCTCGTACGTGACGTCGGCGTTGAAGCCTCCGTAGTTATCGGCGCGTACTTGACGTGCTGGACACGGCCGTCGGGCAGAGCCACCGAGTAATATCCCTGGGTGTGTGGCCATCGCTCTCCTCCTTCTTGGCGAAGTTGGTGCCGGTGTAGTGATCGTTGACGGCGTAGTCGTAGGCGAACGGCTTGGCCTCCTCCTTGTACTGGGGCCCCGGTCGGTAAGAGGCCGGCTTTGGGAGGAAGCCGGGTGATAGGGGGCCGGAGCGGGCTTGTAGCCCGGCGTCTCCGGTGCCGGGGCGGCGGCGGCGATAGCCAGCACGGCGGCAACGACGAGGAACTGCAATGCCGTGGAGAATATATGACGGATCAGACAGCCAGTTTAACAGTACAGTTTTGCCACGATTTACATGAATATATACATGTGTATATATATATATATATAATATATATATATATATATATATATATATCTATATATAATACTATCATACATCTCTATATCTCTATAACCTAACTTTTCGTGTAATGTATGTCACATCGCAAAAAACACGCTGTACTTGGCTTGAAATAAACTCTCTAGAATCCACAAGCACCTATCAATGCATTATTAGAGCACATACTGCATGGTGTGTTCAGATGGCTGGGTGTGCAGTGCAAGTGGTGCCTGCTCCTTGGTGCTTTCGCTTTTATAAGGTCGGCCGCTAACCACTGATAGACGTCACGGTCATATTCCATGAACGGACGCCTCCAACGGTGTCACCGGTTGCGAAAATGACGAATTCGCACGGAATTCCTGGTACACGTCCGCCTCTTAGATTTGATCAAAATGTGACCCATGACGTTGTTTATGGGCAGGTCATCTAACTTTAACAAGCAAGTTAGAAGATTAGTGGCTAAAAACACATAGCTTATGGCGCAGCAGTCTGCACCCATTTGGAACTATGCATTCGAACAAGGCATACTTCCTCCCCGTCTCCAACTGACAGCTCGCGTTCTAGCCCCCCCCCCCCCCCCCCCTGTGGTCCCATCATATCGATCCAAAAGGTACATTTGAGTCGTTTTTCATTCGATACCAAGTGGCAATGTGGGTTAGATTCGAGGAGAAATCATCGTTTGGGGACGTGGGTATGGTGTGGAGGTATGAGGATGTATATCTTGAATTCGTCACGTCATTAAGGTGTCCCCCCCCCCCCGGATCATTCCTTAGAAAGGCCCAGGCGAAAGCAAAAACTAGTCGTCAAGGTAGATGCATTAATGTATTCTTGGTTTCGAAGTGTTTCTAAGCTAAGTAAGCCACTACTCCATTTTTGCAGAGATGAATCGTGTTCTTCTCCAAACGTGTGAACGTCACGCACATCGCCATAGGTCGTAATAACTGCGCATGATGTCGCCACATACAGAACCAGGCTGAAAATGACAATATCCGGATGTGACGTTAGAGAAATGTTGGTTCTGCCCAACAATTAGAGCTCAAAGGCTCGTTAGCTCAGACATTCCATGGTGTTCATGTTTTTGGAATGTAGGTAATCCATGTTTCTAATAAAGGGAGTGTCAAATTGAATGTGACTAATCGATTTACCGTCACAGGCCTATTATGAAAACGTTGACAGTAATTCCGACCATTTCCTACATTAGTTAAGGCTACGATATGCTATGAAGTGTGGCACAATATAACCGATTCTTTACAATTGGTATCACAAACTGATGGTATGATCTCGTTTTAAAAGTCTGTGAAGTGGGTCACGAAGTTAGGCTAGCGAGCGCTTTACAATGGTGCTTATTGAAACGCCTGTGCTGGGGAAGTTTCCAGGATGGAAATACATGTTACCAGCTTTTAACATACTTTTATGGGACATCTGGCAGTATCAGGCAGGCAAAACCGTCTGATGATTCTTTCTTCATCCTCGCTAGACGTTAACGTGATGTCACTGGTGCCAAAACTTAAATGCACGGGAGGGGTAAGGGGATCGCTAGACTTCGGACGTAATGCCGAGAGGCAAACGGCAACCAGAAACATTCGTGCAGATAGCGAATAAGTCCTTAGATGCGATTGCATATGATCAGCGAGTCAGTAACGAAAAATTTTGTGGCGAACGTGATGATGGACTTTGGAAGCCCATATAGCAATCTATTAAAATGTAATGACATGAAAAGTGAAGGCTCAAACACAAAGTCTTAAAGTCTCAAGCACAAAATCTTAAACACAAAGTCTTATAAGTCTTATACACAATTGGGCGGCAGGAAAATCGGGCTGGCTTCGTACCAATGACGAATAAACTTAGCGACCGACGTATATGGCCAACGAGCTGATAGCGTAGAACTTAACAAGTGTGATGAAATGCGCAACAACCTCATGCGACACCTCATTACAATGCACTTCGAACTCATACAGCCTCGCGCCCGTGGACGTGACGCCGCCGGTGGTGCGAAGGAGTGGCGAGCGTGGCGAGTCTGTTGTCTGCTGCATGCATTATTTCTACGCTAAATGCACCAGATACATTGCTGGCAAGTGAGGTACATAGTGCACGAGGTTGTCTATGCGCTTTGCATGCGTAAACTCCTGGTA